GGGTGTGCGTGCGTGTGTTTGAGTTTGTGCTTGTGTTGGTGTTTGTGCTTGTGTGCGTGGGTGTGTTTGGGTGTGTTTGTGTATGTGTGTTTGTGTGTTTGTGTGTGTTTGTGCGGTTGTGTGTGTGCGTGTTTGTGTGTTTGCGTGTGTTTGTATATGTGTGTGTGTGTTTGTGTAGTGTGTTTGGGTGTGTTTGTGCGCGTTCTGGTGTGTATTTGTGTGCGTGTTTGAGTGTGTGTGTGTGTGTGTTTGTGTGTTTGAGATTGTGTTTGTGCGCTTGTGTATGTTTGTGTGTTTGTATCTTTGTGTCTTTGTGTCTTTGCGTCTTTCTGTATGTGTGCGTTTGTGTGCGTTTGCGTGTGTGCTTGCGTGCTTGTGCGCTTGTGTGTGTGTGTGTTTGTGCGCATGTGGTTGCGTGCGGTTGCGTGCATTGGTGTGTATGTGTGTGGGTGTGTGTGTGTGTTTGGGTGTGTGTGTGTGTGCGCCGTTGTGTTTGTGATTGTGTTTGTACTTTGGTATTTTTGTGTTTGTGTTCGTGCATTTGGTATTGAAACTGTTTGTGCGTGTGCGCGTGTGTGTGCATGTGCGCGTGTGTGTGTGTGCACATGTGCGTGTGCGCGTGTTCCTGTGCGTGCGCATGTGCGTGCGCGTGCGCGTGTGCGTGTGCGTGTGCGTGAGCCTGTGGTTGCGCGTGTGCGTCTGCGTGTGCGCGTGTGCGTTTGGGTGTGCGTGCGCGTGCGTGTGCGCGTGCTTGTGCTTGCGCGTGTGCGTGTGCGTGTGCGTGCGCGCGTGCGCGTGCGCGTGTGCGTGCGCGTGCGCGTGTGCGTGAGCGCGTGTGTGCGCGTGCGCGTGCGTGTGCGTGTGCGCGTGCGCGTGTGCGCGTGCGCGTGCGCGCGCGCGTGCGCGGGCGCGGGCTTGGGCGCGGGCTTGGGCGCGTGCGCGTGCGCGTGGGCATGGGTGTGGGTGTGTGTGTGTGTGTGCTTTTGTGCTTTTGTGCTTTTGTGCTTTTGTGCTTTTGTGCTTTTGTGTGTTTGTGTGTGTGTGTGTGTGTGTGTGTGTGTGTGTGTGTGTGTGTGTGTTTGTTCTGTGTGTCTCTGTGTCTGTTTCTCTTTGCCTGATCCTGCGAGCATGAACAAACAATATGAGCGTGGCCGTGGTACGTGCGTAGTGTATGAGCGAACAAATACACAAGTCATGGAATCCCAGCCTGCTTGAGGAGTCGTTCGATCTCCTCCGCCGAGGAGGAGTAAGGTGCAGCCGCATCCCCAAAATATACCTTTGCAACACCATCAGCTGTGATGCGCCCACATGTCGATTCCGAAGTCTGGAGGCAACAATGGCATTTGAAGACTGGAAGGCCGGGGAAGGGACCGGTGCAGGCACCAGCACAAACTGATTCATGGCAGGCACCTGATTATGCGCAAAATAAAATGTGGTTTTCTTCCGCACATGACAGCTCGACAAACCATGAGCAACATTCTGCTCTGCATGAGCTTGTAGTTGTATGGAAAATTTTAATGAATATCTGAATATCAGGTAAGGACTGCACCATCTGTCCCTCGATCATGCAGGCAGGCATGACGTCTGGCCTCTGTAAGCCTCAGAGAGGAAAACCGCTGGTAGCATTCCTGAACTCCACATTCCAATGTTCAATGACTCTCAGGTCCGAACCCATCATGCTTGGAACTGCCACTGATTCGAAGCTCCTCAAGATTGCATCATGCGAATGCGGTTGCTGGGTTCCTATGTCCATCCAGTCACTTCTACCCTTACAAATGATCAGTCCTCATCGAGAGTCCTGCCATACGCTGCGTGAACCCCACGGCATGTCATGTAGACAATGCACTTGCGCTCCCTTCACCCTCTTCCAAGCGAAATCCATAGCAAATATATGTCTGCTCCTTGTGCCCTTTCATCAACCATCTTGTACTCAGCAAGAATTCGATGCATGCTCATCGTCCGACTAATTGCAAAACAGCAATGCACACGGTGGAAATACAATGAACACTTAGCTATCAGCGGAGACCGTGTGACCAGGACTGGATGGAACCTGACTGATTCGATGCATGCTCGCACAGCGTTAGGATTGCAACAGCAACGCACACTCTGCAACGATGAAGACTTAGCTATCAACGGAGAGAGTGCGTCCAGGACTGGATGGAACCTGACTGTGTCCCGTCTGGCAACTGCAACTGGAATATTCCTTGACACTCTCCCTCTAAACGACTGGGGAACTTGCACTCTGTCGGGCCTCCAGTCCCAAAGGATCCCAGATCAGCCTGGCATGGACTGTCTGCGGACGCTCAATCTACTCGGCCTGTGCGCTAAGCGTTTGGATCTAGCATGTTGGGGACGTTGAGACTTCGAAACATGGCCCTCGGCAAGTTTTGCAGTCCCCGACGCTGGGAAACGCGAGTAATTAAACATTCCCTCCCAACAGCGCTCTCGCGCACAGGCGCAGAGCAAAAGTTTGACATTGGCCGCATTGGCCGATCTGCAATCAAAGCTGAGGCTTTGTGAGACTCACACTTCTTGTGTGAATGAAAGCGGCACCGTATTCTTCATACCTCAGCGCCCGTGGTTTGCTTTCAGCAAGTGCAACCTCGTTGGCATTGGGCTCTGGGTGACTGGCTCTGCTTTCGTCATAAATGTCTTTTGCAGGTCTGGCATGGAGGCAACGATCGAGCCTCCAGTGAATGCAGCATACCTCGCATCAGGACCCACTTTTGTTTTCTCTTTCAGCATGCCAGAACGCTAACTGTACTGACAAAGAACAAATGAGAAAGAACCAATGACCAATGTGATATCAAATGAACGTTACATGCGATATCATCATACCATGCGAGATCAAACAAAGATAACCAACTGCATCGGAGGCTGGGCTGCCCCACGCAGGGCTGGCCACGCGGGACACCGCCGCCTTGATGGTGGACGGGAGCAGGGCCTGTAGCTCCTCAGGCTGAGATTGGTACCCTTTCCGGGTTGCTTTCAGAAAAACCGCCCCATGTTTTGGTTTTAAGATGGTCCCCTTTTACAAATGGGGTTGCTTGAAGCAAAACTGAAAACCACCAAGAAACCTTCTCAAAAGAAAGAAATCGCTTCCTTTTGGCACGCGTCGGGCCTGCTCCACTCGGCGGCACATGCCAGGAAACAGCATCGAGCCACCGGACAGCACCTGGATGTCAGACTTCCAACAGCTCAGACGCTGGCCAAGTAATCCGGGGCCAAGACAATGTTGCCAGCTAAATCCTTCAGAATGTCCCGGCCTTGAAACTCGCGGATATTAGACGCTGGGGTCAGCAATCCAAACAGCAAGAGAACAGAACAAATCGTGACAACACCGATTTCGATGACTTGGCAGTCATCAGGAAGTAAGCCCAAGCCCAAGCATCGGGCTGCAAGCCAAAATGCTGTCCGTGGCCATCTTCTGGATTCCTTCTTCCTGTCAAGGTGTCAAAGCCAATCAAATCAAGCATCCACAAAAATTGGCTTAAGTCACCACGTGCAAAAACCTGCTGAACGTCAGTGTCCTCGTCACGCTTCAGCAAACGAGCCGGCTGAAACAAGGCCTGGTGGAACTGCAAATGCAGTGCACACCAAAGGTTTTTGTCCAAGTGGGCAGTATCTCTGATAGCATGCCCAAGCTAAGGGCTGACACACGGTTTTGGCCAAAGAAGCAAACTGGAAAAGTGCTATTGACCTTCTCAGCCCACTACTTCTGCACACTGAGCAAGGCAATCTTGCTCTCGATGCAGGACCTGGAAACGCAAGTGAAGCGCTCTGACAAAGGGAGGTGACGATGATGTCAGTATGTTTCAGACTGTCTCTTGCAGTTCTGCCACCTCACAGCCTTGCCAAAGCCTGTTTGTGGCAAGTCAAGTGGTAGTGAATGGCTCTAGATTCGGCTCACTGCTCCTTGGCGTGCCTTTCCGTCCGGCAGCTGATACGTTCCTGAGGCTGCTGGATTAGTGTCCTGCCAGCAAGCTGCTCACCTTCGCACACATGTGGCACAAAAGGCCTCATGGTTGGTCGTGTCGCGCTGCCGCACCCGGCACATGGACTCCTCACAGGTCCCATGATTATTTTTCAAGCACAGCCCGCACAACAGCTGGCGAAGTGCGCTCTCCTTGACCGCTGTCAAAGCGCGCCAGTCAACCTTGCCAGCGTAGCTTGAGAAAGAAAAATGCAGCTCCGAGCTGGGCACCAAGCATCGCCCTTGGAATTGTCCGGCTTGTATCCAACCTCTGTGCGCAAGAGTTCGCCCAAGTAAGCCTCAGAACGGTGAATGTGTTTTTGAGTCTGATCCGCATTGCGCGTACTGTGTGTGACTGAATATGGGGGCGCAATGCCAACATCTCTGGGTTGGCTTGCATGCCACCAATCCATCAGTTTCGTGGTTCGCTCAACTGACTTCCGGGGCATGCGCTGTAAGGTCTCTTCCGCCAAAGTCCCTGCGCTTCACGGCATTGAAGATCATGTAGCTATCGTACAGTGGCACCTCAGAACGTGTGCAACAAATCCAGCGTGCCGTACATGCCTGCTTTCTGCTGCACATTTGACACTAGTGGCTAGGCCCAAGCTGTTTGGGCAACCCCGTCCCCGACCTCGATGACCAAGCCAGTCCCTTGGTTGACGTGCGTGTTTGGCAACTGTGCCCAATCACTCTCTTCTCTCGTGCCAGTCACTCATCCAAACACACGATTTGCACTCTTAGCGCCCAGCTGCTGTTGGTGGCATAGAGGGCCAATGAGCCAGAATGTGCCACCTGCCAAAACAATTTTCCAACGCGTGCTGGTGACAAACTTTTGGAATGAAATCTACGCAGAAATGCCTCAGCATATGCCAACTCCGCACAGTGGGCCTGAAGTGCAGGAACCTGCAACTCCTCAAAGAGATGTTCCGCCTGGGACGCGGGCAGCGTTCTTGTGCGGACACGTCTCGCGCACAGAGCCTACGCGCACTTCCGAAAAATGATGCATGGGCACCCCGGTGGACGCGGGACGCGCCGCAAGTTCTTGGGTCACACACTGATATATAAACGCAAGAAGCTGAAATGCCATCTCCTGGCCTATTTACACACTAGGCGGCGCCCAGCAGAAGCTCAAATTCGAAACAAGCATCCAGCGAATCGACACTGTAGGCGTTCACCGGGCACTGTGAACGAATTCTGGGGGGCACAAACGCCAAAAACAGATTGTGGGCAGTCACGAGGGTGTAGCATCGGGATTGAACGCGCGATTGGGTTTACGTCTGCATTCTGATTGTAGGTTTGCAATTGCACGTGTTCGCCTGAAAGCTCCCCGCGCTGCGCATGGCCCGGTCTTGACGCCATCATGCTGCGGGGGCTGCTCTATTGCCTGGCTGGTTTCACATGAGCCCCTTTGGTGAAAGCAACCGCCTCTTCTGATTGCACAGGCGTTTTCTTAACGCGGTTTCCTGCGGGGTGCACTGAACTGCCACTCCCTTTCCACCATCACCTTCTCCAAAACACCCTTGCTGCTCCACTTGGTGAGGGCGTCGCTCACCATCTCTCGCCCCACGTTGTTGGCGCCCTCCTCCCCTCGCTCAGCCCCGCCGCATCAATCATTGACCTCGATCTTCCGATCTGCGGCGGCTTAGCACATGGCGCCCCGCCTTAGCATCGATGACTAAAGTGGCGATGGATCCGCGGCTGCCTCTAACAAGCAAAAGTCCAGACAGGGTATGGGAGAAACTAGCAATGCGATTCAAGTTCTCAGCTTGTGACTCAAGTGTAGACTCTTCTGCGATCCATGCTGAAGGTTGCTATGAAACGGACGTCCGTTATTTTTCTATGATGTCCTTGAACGCTATCATAGCAGGATCTCTCGCAAACGTTTCTCCCTTTGCCTTTGAACCTGACTACACCTGTGTTGCAAGAAAACGCGTACAAGTTTCTAAGCTGTTCGTGTTGACTTTGGTTTCTTGTAGGAGTAAAACGTTGTAAGATTGCCTGCGCGCGATGTCTCGTTTGAAGGAGGCTCCCCAACCAAACCCATGACATTTAGCGCGGCTACTCTCAACTGCTTGTTGCGCGTTCGCTTCTTGTTTTGAGCCGCCTTGCCGACTTGACTCTCCTTTGATATGGTAAAACAAGCGCTGCCGCTCTCTGGTCAGCTGCATCCCCGACCCTGCGACATTGTTGCAGTTCTGGGCCCTCCTGCGTTTCGGAGCAATCTCCAGAACGGCCTTTCCCTCCCACCATGTTGCGAACTGGCTCCCCTGGCGCCAGCCCTGGGTCCATTCGTCCTCCAAGCTCCACGTGTCAGCCCGCCCGTCACGCTCACCTTCAAGACTGTCAAGGTCGCCTTGTCTCTGACCGCCACCTGGATGACCTGCTGAAAGTGCCCAGCGCCGCACTTTTCCATACGCCATTCTTGATGTGAGTCCGTTACTGGCTCGGTTTCACAGTTTGCATTTTTGCGCGCGTTCGTGCACTCCCAAAACCTGCATCGGACGCTGAACGGACCATCGCTTTTCTTCATGCCATGTTCACTGGGGTTTGGGTCACATCTCCATATCGCTCTCATCTTAGCAGCGAGCCAGCAGCTCGCGGTGAACGGTTGGATTCAGAGGTGCCTTGAAACAGTGCTGTCATACACTAGTCACGCAGTCATGCAGGCGATGGATTTGTCACACGCCTCTGTCAGGAGAAATGGATGATTTTGGGGCTGCACCTGGCCATGCCAAGCATCTATGGACAGGTGAAGGCAACTCCGTCTCCCTTGTGATTCTAGAGCCAACCTTCAGCTCGTCCATGGCGGCCTCGATGACTTCCAACAGACCTTCCCACCTGCGTCCGGATCCCCACGTAGAAACACAATGCGAGCTTTATTCTAGTCACCCTGAGGTCTGCGCTGAGACACAATCCCATGGTCCACAACATGAAACCTGCCGCCATGAATCCAACAAAAAAAAAAACGAGAAGAAGCAAAAACGCACCCTTTTCCACAGAAGCATGAATTGCACAGTTCAGTGATTGAGCCGTTGCGCAAAGAAACAACGTTTGACTCACTCATGCATACTTCTTTCCGCAGTCTACACGAAACAGCGCAAATTGCCTGGCATGGTTGGATTGTAGTGCCTTGGCCGCACCCTGGGCTCAGTGAATACAGATGAGAAATTCAAACAATGAGCAATTGCCTCGTGTGGAACATGTCGAGAAACCCGCAACGCGGTGAACACGTTATCGTGAACCACCTGGCTTTGACAAAATATCAGACACATGTCAAAGCCAGTACCACGGCCACAAAGGTACTTGATTCATTGCTTCAAGAATCACTGCACTCCAAGCAGGCACAGTATGGCAAGAAGGCGCATGGAATTAACAAACCACCAGGGTGCACATGTGGCTCCAAACATGTAAAAAAGCAGCTCACATCCCTCTGACCCCTCATGAGCCACAACAAGAAAGCGAAAGCACATACCACTAGCACGATTTGAATACATGTCTGCCCGCCCTTGGTTCACACTCTCCAGCAAAGCCCACCTGACAAAGGATGTCAAAGGAAGCCATTCACGCATGCCCTGTATAGCCGCATAGCCGCATAGCCTTCACTCACACAAGGTCCATCTTCTGCCTTGATGGTTCCAGAACCATTGTCCAGGACAATGGGCGTCCCCTCCATCACGTGGCCTTTGCCCCCATGGAGATGCACGGCGGCGTCAGCTCAGTTTGTATGCTGGCTTTTCTGGCGAGACCTTGTTGTCTTGCGTGTACCTTCAAATGATACCATTCATCCGAACCCTGAAATAAGGGATCCCCAAGCAAAGCACCTTCATCGGGGTGAGCTCCTTGTACATCCAAACGAGCTCGCTACAAAATAGGCACATGTACGCCTTTCTTGTTGTTGCTGCTTCTGCATTTCTTTGTTTCTGTGTGTTCTTGCTTGGCTTCTGTGCTTCTGTTCTTGTCATATTTGAGGCCCAAGCTGCAAAACCAGATGCAGCTGCCAAAGCGATCAAGTCACGAGGCAAACAAGACAGCCGGACTGCGCGGGAGTTGTTGGCATTGGTTCATCCTCGAAGCTGGAGGAGGACTGCCTCCAACAAGATGAGCTTCCGCACGCAATGGATGCAAGCGTGCTAATAAGAATGCTCGTGCCTGTGCGGGCTCAAGCAATGCCAATACGACTATAGCATTGCCAAAAATGGCCCGCCTGTCACTCTCCATATACGATCCACTGCGATATCCGTCCGATGTAGATGCATAGGCATCACTCCCTGCATGCCAGTAAGCAGTCATTGGTCGCTAGCAAGTTGAAAGCCTACCAAACGAACTGTAACTGAGCAGTGCTCTGTAACTGCCGGCAAAACAAGCAAGTCGCCACTTTAACTTGTGCTGGCCTTCGAAACTGTCCTTGCGGCTGATCACGGTCTCGACCTTCCAATGAAATTTACTCCCTTTGGGAGGGGAACACTGGCACCAGGATTTTGCTGTGGCATCAGGTGAATCACTGGACAGCAAATCGCCTTCTCACCCTGCATGCCTTGACTCTCTAAATCCATAGGCAACGACTTGCCAACAATGCCTCAATGCTGGCGAAACATGATTGGTTACCCAGTCCAACACCACACTTCTGTCATTCTGACATGTTGGCGTGTGCAGCTGCACCTGCCAGTCGTTTGCAGTCTCCTAATGAGCTGAAACGCAATCCAAACATCTCGCTTTGAGCTTTGATACTTCAGCATGCACTCACTGTCTCGGCTTGTGCATCAGGGCTCGGCGCCTGGGGAGGTCTCTTGCGGCCGAACGGAGGGGTCTTTCGTAGTTCCTCCTGCTCATGAAGCTGGCTCCAACGACGCCATCCACATGGCATGGCGCGAATGGGAGCCTACGTGAGTGTTCTCAATACAATCCCATCATGCAGCGTTGAGTGATTCCGCGCAGCCGCTCCTTGCCATGCGCAAAGGTGCACTGATCTGCAGATAATTTACAGCAGTGGTTTTGCCAGTTCCTGCAGAAATGAAGGTGCTGGTTCGATCAGCATTGATATGACAAACAAATCCGTCTCACTCTGTCATGGTAATGTTCTCATAAGGAAGGCGCTTGCAAATAGAGGTCTTGCGGAGGTCCGGGAGGTCCTCGCAATGGGTGCGTTGTGGAGTTGGTACGCTTAGGTTGGTTGCAAGGGGAACCAAATGGAAAATCAGCGAGGGGGCTGTATACGACATACCATACCCATTTTGCACCCTGAGCCCTCCTCAAGCTCTTCGGGAGAGTGCGCGAACGGGCACTTCTCAGCATATCGGCAACGCCCTGAAAGCGATTTTCGGTGCCAGCGGTGCCAGGTGCTTCCATGCGATTTTCCACGCGATGACATGAGTCCATGTGTCTGACTCTGTGCTGCGGGCCAGTCTCGTGGAAGCGGCAAAGCTTGGTCTTGCGGAATTGTCCAACCTCGGCAGCCAAGTCTACAGTCTACTCCGTCGGAGCAAAACTACAGGCTCAGATATCATGCATTGCGCGACATAGCAATTCTGGGCTGCTGGCAAACAGGGTTTGCTTCTCTCTGGACATGGGTGCCTATCCAATGACTCATCGTGCTTGCCTCGTCCCTGTGTGCTTTCATTGCTACACTCTGCATATTGGCTCGGAGACGTTGGCAACTACTGCAAATGGCTGCTTTTTGTCATTCCGACAAATAGCGCCTCAGTGTTGTTCTTCTGGAGACGACTCATCTGACCTGACAAGTCGATAGGGCGGCAAAGGTGATTGATTGGCGAGCATAGCTACAGCTACTAGCATGCCAACCACGTCTCTGAGACAGGCACCCATTGCGCACTTCAACTGACTTTACTCAGCGCCCTCCGTGCGTCTTGATATCGAGCCGCTGCGAGAACGCATAGAATCTGATACCAGAATGATGCCAAATGATTGCGCAACCCAAGACATTACGGGCATAGATGCCCACGCAGTGGCAGTTTAATGTTTAATTGTTTCCTCACCAAGGGTGCCCAGGTGTCTTAGACACTTGGACAT